TCCCCATCTGGAAGGGTTTTCCACCTTATAGCTCAATTCTGTATATTCGTGTACTTCTCATAGGCGTTCTGGAAACAGAGGTCTTGCTGAATTAGTTCTTAGGCAGCATTACATATATAGATAATTCCTAATTATGCTATATAACACCAACACCAAGCCCCTCTTTTCAACCATCACAGAATGAAAAGGAGCATTCCTACTTCGGCAGATGACAAAACAAAGCAGAGCAAAACAAATACACATTTTCCAGGGCAGATTTCACAATTGCAGTATTCCAGCTGAGCAACAGCTGGTTGGAAGAACAAAGCTGAATTCTTTTAGGGTATTCATTCGTGACATTCCCAAAAAGGAAGCAAGACAGATGAGGGAGAGATACAGCTCTTTACAGTACCTTGGCTCATCTTCAAGTGGCACTCCACTCTGCATCGGAAAAGAATTGCACCTTGTGTGCAAGAACAAGTGCGATCTTCTTTAGTAATGCTAGGAACCCACCATGCTCAGAGCTGTATCGGAGAGAGAACCAGGATGCTCTGCGTTCAGGCCCAAAGATTTGCCTGTGTCAGCAGTGGGTCACGCTGGACTTTTCTATGGGGCTATTCAAACCTTCCTGGCTGTGGCCTAGCAAGCTGCTGAGGTCATGCAGGCCTGATCCACCTTTGCTGACAGGCAGAAAACACAGACACTCATCACTCTGACTGTAGCACTGCCCAGTGTAGGAGGGTAGCAAAGCCGTCCTTGAGAGAGTGGAAAACAGCACAACTTTGAATACACACTGCTACCCTCTCTTTTGCCTTTGCCCCTGCCTTGGTATAACAAAGAACATTTAAAAAAACCCTTACATTACCATATGCAATTTAAAAAAATCTTGTAGCACTCTTAATTCTCAGTTATTTTTCATGTATGCACTCTTACGTAGTCCTGATTCATTATTGCTTTTGCTTACATTTCTCCACTTCCTTGTTGGCTGCTTATTTAGAAATGCTAAAAATAATAAACGATACGGGTAGGACAGCTTAGCTTTCTCTCAATCTCTGTGTTAATTCTGGCTGTCGTGCGGAGACAGATTCTTTAGTAACTACAGTAATTCACCTGGTCATGAAAGCCAAAGCCTTCCTGACGACACCAGCGCTGCAGTCTTTGGTTGACCACATAGATCCTCCTGTCCCTTCTCAGCCCATAGCCTGAGACTGGGAGGATCGATGAGAACACTACCTGTGCCCCCAGACCCTTAAGCCCCGCTCCCAAATCCCTGTAGCGCCTCATGACCTGGCTGGGAGTGCTCCGAGCAGTGTCATTGGTGCCCACATGAATAAGGAGCATGGGATAGTGGTCTGTGGGTTTAAGGAGCTTTGGGATCCTCTCCGTAATGTCCCGGATGCGGGCCCCCGGGAAGCAGCAGACTTGCCGGGCTAAGGGGTCGGGGTGGCAGATTTGCCCCTCAGTCCCCCTCAGGAGGGAGTCTCCCACAACAAACACCTTATGTTTTGTCTTGGGGAGAGCAGGGGCGGTAGCTGCAGTTGGGACCATGTTGCCTGTGGGGGCCGGCAACTCAGCAGGGGCAGCAAGAGGTGCGTACCTGTTGCCCACTATTCTTTCCAAAGGCACTTTGTTAATCTGATGCCGTGGCTTTCTTCTTCATGGCTTATTTCAAATACAGTTTCTCAACATATTTTGGTCTTTTTTTTAAGACTGACAGAAGTGTGTGTGGGGTAGTAGTGAATATACTGTCATGTACCACAAATTTTACAGGTTTAGATGTCCAATGCTGGGAGTGCTTCTAGTATCTAACAATAGTAAACTTGCCAGTGCTTCACTGACTAAGTATATCAGAATGTCCCAATAAGGAAAACAAACCAAGTAAAGAAGGATAGAATTCTCCACTTAATCTGAAATGCTATCCTCAGAAATATACTCTGCATTAGAGCATACTATGAATTAGTTCTGCCTTTATTAATTATGTATACATGCCATACATACATGAGATGCTCTTCAGTGGGAGTATTGTACCTAAAAAACATCAGCCAACAAAGAAGGACCTCAATATAAAGGACAGAAACCAATGCAAAACAAGAAAGTAGATGGTCTCTTGCGTTTGGACTGATTCATAAGAAGTTTGTAAGGATTTTATGACAGAGGAGGATGAAAAAGCTTTGCATACATTAAGTGGAAGCTTGTTCCAAGAATTCAGGGTGGAGTAGGAGACATGAAAGAGAGAACAAGTAATAGATATAAAAAGGGTGGATGGCAGTGACGCTTGGCAGTGAATGGTAGTGCTGGAGGAGATGTGGGTGTGAGCTGAGTGATGGATTATTCAGCACAAATTCATTTTTGTTTACTATATTTTATAGATTTTTAATTTTTGAAAAATGTCCTTACTGCTCTGGGTTAAATTTTATTCTAAAAATATTATCAGTCATAAGCTGATTTTTCCTTTCCAATAGTTTAAAATGGGTTCCCAACTACCGGGCTGCTGCAGGTTGGCTGCTGGATTGTGGCTTCTGCTGCCAGCAGTCATGTGCACTGTGCAGGGTTAAAACTGGGCGGCGGGGCAGCCCTGGGAAGGAGGCAACCAGCTTTGTGCTCCTCATCCCGCTCCCGCCACCATGGCTACACCTGCCAAGGTGCTGCACACGCACCAGGAATCAGGGCCCGCACCAGGCTGGGCAGGACCCCCTATCTCCGCCCACAGTTAGGAGTGGGGGGATGCAGATGGGAAATTCCTGGGGCAGAAGACAGGGAGGAAGCTCTGCTGCTTGCTCCTAGGAAAGGCAGCAGAGACCCTTCTTCCTGGGCAGCCCCAGTTGGGTCCCCCTGGGCCATCACCTGTGCAGCTGCCTCCCCTGCAGGATCCCACAGTGCCCCAACTCAGTCTGATCCATGCAACCCTGCTCCCCCCCCATTAAATTTAAATATGTAAATTACATTTGAATATATAAAATAGATCTTTTGCTGGTCCACAGTGTAAAAAAGTTGGAAACCCCTAGTTTAAAAAACCATAAAGTGAAAAGACAAGTAGAAGCATGGCATTTGGCCTTGAAAGTGATCGAAGTTTGATCTTTAACTGCTAATTATGCAGCAGTTAGTTGCCACAATGACAAGGACTATCAATGACTACATTTCTTAGTGAGCTTTTGTGATAGAGGCAGTGCCCCAAAGGAGAATTCACCTCAAAGGGAAGCGCTCCCGAGCCGGTGGGATGCGATGGAAAACCAGAAGTCCAGTGGGAGCAAAACCATGGCAGAGAAAAATGCTACGGCAACAAAAGAAGGAAAAAAAAAAGAAAAGACACAACTGGTCCAGGAAGAGCTGGGGTCAGCTCCAGCCCCAACATGGACCCGTTTTGTGGCAGCATGCCAGTGCCTTCGCTACCTGGCCCATTAGGGCAGACATAAAAGCTTCACTGGGAGCAGAGTTGAGAGGACTGGAAGTGAGGTTTCCGGTGGGGCCAGAAGAGCCCCAAGAAGGAAGGAGCTCTAGAGAGGAGCAGTGGTGGCTGCCCCAGGAGGGGGCACACAAAGAAGAGAAAAGCCCACAAGGTCTAAGGTACACACCTGAAGAGGAGGTGTGGATCCCAGATGCCTCCGGATGGGATTGGATGGCTAAGAACCCTGCAAAGGGAAAAGAGAGCCAGGAGTCTGGATCAAAATAACTACATAACAGAGAAGCAAGGATGTTACTTGTAACAAGGTAACCCAGGGATAGCAAAGACCACAAGCAAGTCTTTGCTATGGCAGGGAGCTCAGGCCAAGTGAGGGCCGTACCCTATTTTCCTTTAAAGTCAAAAGAACCAAGACAAAAAATTACGACCGTAGCTCACCTTAGAGGTGAGCAGAAGATAACATCTTAAGGTTGGTGTAAGGTGGGGTGTAGGGGAGGCGGAGCCCCAAATTGGCAAACTGAACAAGCCTGGTTGCAGAAGTCCCCAGGAAAGGTGGGACATAACATCTTACTCCCAGTAATAACTTATTTTTCCATCAAAAATGTGGCAGGCAAGAACCCCCGTGAAAGCCTTCCAAGGCAAATACTTCAACACCGAACTGTCCGGGTCCCAACGAAACGGCGAAGCCTGAGAGGTCCCTAAGAGCTAGGCATATGAGCAAACGCCACGGGAATTTATAGTCTTTTAGAAAGTGTTATATGGAGCAGACAGAGCTTTTAGAATGTTATATATATTTTTAATTAACTACTTTTCTTACTACTGAAGTAAGTTGAGTTCAAGATTTGGCTGCTAATTTGGACAACCTAATGTAAGATTATTAATAGGAAAAAATGAATACTTTTTGCAAAAGTAGGCATCTCAAATGTCTCTATTTAAAATAAGCATACACAGAAAAAGGATTTGGGGTATTAAATTAGGAAATACAAAGATTTGAGCAGAAAGACTAGTTGCATTTGAAAACCATGATCTAAAATTACTAACTATGAATGTCTTGGCATTTAATTTTGGGATGCCTAAATATGACACCTAAAAATGGGGTGGATTTTCAAAGATTGGCATTCAGCAAGGGGGAATGCTGCAGAGTATCCAGCCACTTTTACAGGCTCAAGCTAGCCACTCAGATATTAAGATAGTAAAAATCATGGCCCTTTTAAAAACTTTGTCTTAAAATGTCTTGTATAAATGTTCTAGGAAATACTAAGAAAATTAATGTAAAAAAAAGTGGTGTATTATGCATTAGTGCAATAAATCAGCCTCTCCTTTTATCTAGAAATCTGTTAAGTGTCAGCTTCAGTATGGAGAAAAGGATTTATACATGTGTGACTATAAAAGTCATGAAAATACAGCTGCCATTTGTTTGAAAATAGTCAACACCAGGAAGACGATAAAATAACAGAAGGAAGTGGCCTAAGATATAAAAATGTTCAGCTCTGTATGGTAGACTTTATCACTAAGAACTAATATGGGCAAGCTGCCATGCTTTAGTTAAAACCAAAAGTATAATGTCAAAGTTCTTAAAAATAGTTTTAATTTAAAAAATATAATAGACACATACAAACTCCATGGTCCAGAGAGGCATTTTATTTTCAAGTTTAATTTTTTCAACATGCATCTTTATGAGCTTGGTTATAGTTTTATTACCAACATTCTCTGCAAATTTCACAGGTGTGTTAGTTCTCCTATGGGATATTCTACATGAGCTGCAGCATTCAGCAATAAATTGCAAATTCCCAGGTACCCTAAGTTAAAGATACCAAGCATGTATGTTGTAGTGCAAAGAGTTGTCCTGATAGTACATCTACATTTAATACATTTTGCAGAAAAATAACCATTTTAAATGGCATAATTTTAGTTCACAAAACTAAGTATAACAGATGTGATTTCAAAGCAAACTGTTTGAATTATTTGTACATAAAATACTGTATATCCAATTTAAAAATGTCAGAGTTTAAAAAAGTTATGGTAGGTCTTTCTCGTTTGTTGAGAGAACTTAACTGATTTTATTAATCTTTTTTATGTTTGTTATTTTAATAGATGTAATCTGTGTAACAACAGACCACATTTTCAAATATATTGAATTAAGCAATTGTTCATTAATTTCTACATTATAAGTTATTTTAAATACAATTAGAGAAAATTGCAATTAACTGATAATTTTTCAATAAACAAATGGGATAGTCATTTCTCTCCACAGTTCATCACAAAGAGGACCCCAAAACCTGCAAAACAAAATGTCAGGTCCCCATAGTTAAACAGATTTTAGTCCAGTTTTCAGTAGACTCATTCCCACATCCAAACTTAATCAAAAGTTAACTCTAATTGGAACTCTTATTCTCGTGCTTCTACCAAAGTGCATGAGAAACATCCAGGCTCAGAAGTTAGGCCCAGCTAAGAATGACCATGGACACTTCATTCATTTTGTAGTATACAAGGTGAGCTTCAGAAAGCATGTGAGACACTGCTGGCAGAGGGACATCAAAAACTTTAACTAGTTCTAAAATAGCGGCTCTGTGGGAAAGCTATTTGTATGACTGTATCACTTGGGAGTCCCAAATAAGGAACCCATTGTTCTTGGATCTCTATAAATAAAGGAGGAGACAGTCCTTGCCTTGAAGAGCCTACAGTCTAAATAAACAGGGCATTGATTTTCAGTGCAACCAGTTTTCCAGGTCTTAATCATTCAAATTCACTTACGTTGAATATTTAACAAAATGAAAATAACTAACAATACTTTGGGCTTTCTAAGATCATCTTTCAGCAATTCTACTGCCAAGGAAAAGAACATTTACATATGCCACAGAGTTTGGTAGCCAGAACTGTAGCCATCTAGGGAAGTCCAACTAGTATTTACTGCTTCTCTGACACTGTCAGTATCTGCCAAGCAAGTTGACTATCACAACTCCACATGGGACTTAATACTCACCTCTCCTCAGCTCTGGAGCTTGGAATCTGTGAGGGTAAGACAGTTTCTTTTCCCCATCTGCTAGTAATCAACAGTAGGGTAATGTTTTCGACTTCTTTTCATGCACCCGTAACTGACATTCAGGAAAAGGCAAATGAAAGAGATGCCATCAACTTAAGTACAGTTTTTACCTCTTTATTTGTTTCTTTATTTTATCCCATGCATCATCTAATTATAGCTGCAAAATTAAGGTGAAAAGTTCTCTTTTTCCTTTTAGTTTTCTGTTTCTTCTTTTGATTATCCTTTAGACATAGCCAATTTCTGCTCATTATGCAATCTTTCACATCACAATAAGGGGACGAGAGAGCAATTTAAGATTAGGAGAACGATTGCAAAATGACAAAACTTGGCAGAGGAACTCAGGAGCAGGTGAAAAACAGTATCTTGTACTTGAAGCAAACTAAAAAAGAACTCTGAAAATCTTTTTAATACATATTCCTTTTAATACCCATTCATTTTAGCAATAGTGTTTTAATTTATTAAAAATGTTATGGGATTGCTACTTAATAGCTGCATCTACACAAGATGCTTATCAATTCATAGATGTTAGGATCAGAAGGGACCTTAATAGATCACTGAGTCCGACCCCCTGCATAGGCAGGAAACTCTCTGCTAGCTTATGGCCATTACTTCTTGTGACCCCCAGGGGCGCCTTGGTGAGTAGAGCCTCACCAATTCCCTTCGGCGCCCCCATGATGAATTTATAGGCAGCCACAAGGTCGCCTCTCAACCTTCTCTTGCAGAGGTTGCCCCAGTCTCTCCTCATAGGGCTTGGCTTGCAAGCCCTTAACCATACGAGTGGCCCTTCTCTGGACCCTTTCCAGGTTATCCACATCCCTCTTGAACTGTGGTGCCCAAAACTGCACACACTATTCCAACTGCGGTCTGACCAGCGCCCGATAGAGGGGCAGTATCACCTCCTTGGTTCTATTTGTCATGCACCTGCTGATGCATGATAAAGTGCAGTTAGCTTTTCTGATGATTTCATCACACTGACAACTCATATTCATCTTGGAGTCCACTAGGACTCCAAGATTCCTTTCTGCTTCCATGCTACCAAGCAGGTCATTTCCTAGGCAGTAGGTATGCTGGACATTTTTCCTCCCTAGGTGCAGCACTTTGCATTTCTCCTTGTTAAACTGCATTCTATTGTTTTCTGCCCGTATGTCCAACCTGTCCAGGTCTGCCTGTAGTTGTTCCCTGCCCTCTGGTGTGTCCACTACTCCCCACAGTTTTGTATCATCCACAAACTTGGACAGTGTACACTTCACTCCCTCGTCCAAGTTGCTGATGAAGACATTGAAGAGTCTCGGGCCAAGATCCGAGCACTGCGGAACCGCACTGCCCACATCCTTCCAGGTGGATACCGACCCATCCGCCACCACTGTCTGGGTTTGACCCTCTAGCCAATTTGCCACCCACCGGACTGTGTAATCATCCAAGTCACAGCCTCTTAACTTGTTTACCAGTATGGAGTGGGATACCGTATCGAAGGCCTTCCTGAAGTCTAAGTAGACGATGTCAACCCCTACTCCTGCGTCCACATGTTTTGTAACCTGGCTGTAAAAAGAGACTAGATTAGTCAGGCATGACCTATCTGCTACAAACCCGTGCTTACCATGCAGTAACAACTGCGCAGTCAGCATCCCATGTAGACACGGCCAATATGTTTAAATTTAACTTTTTTCAGTCAACTAAACATTTAAAGGAGAATAGTCTGGTGGCTAGAAATACCAAATTTTGATTTTTGTTTGGTCTGCTGCTCCAAGGTCAAGCTGCTGATTTCTAATAAATAAGATACAGCAAGATATCCAGCATATCCTATCTGGATACTGAAGAAAAAGAAAAAAAGATAAGATATAACATTGTTTAGGAAAAAGCACACAATGATAAAATGTTCTTTGTATGGTAGTTTAAGAGGCTGATTATTGCTAGATGTTTGCAGTTCTATGTGATCTTCTAATATCAGAAAAGCACACAGTGACTGAAGCCATATATAAATTGTAATTAAAGCCCATTATAAATAAGTCATTTGAGAAAAATAGCCAACAAGGACATTTTATAAACTTTTGAGGATTCCTAGGAATTTTCTGTAACAGAAGTCTGTGGAGCAAGCCATAATCTGTGGACATTGTTGGTTACAACATAACTCAGACACTACCAAAATATTGACCATTTCATTATTTACCAATTATTAAACTCTGTCAATGTACTTAATAATAAAAAACAATAGTTATAGGGTTTTTTTTGTCACTACACAATGAATTCCAGTGTACCTCACAAAGATAATGGAATGTTCATTTGACAAAAGAAAAAGCATTGGCAGAAAAGGGGTGAGAGAAATAGTAAGAGAGTGACTGTGCAATTGGCCCAGAATCACAGCATGCCAGCAGAGCATGGAATATAATTTAGACCATCTAACTACCAGTCCTGTGCCATAACTGCTAAATTGCACTCTTTCACCTTTACATTTTTGTTAGTTATGTCCAGGTATGACTGATAAATGCAGAATTAATAAATGCAGAATTGATAAATGCAGAATTATGAGTCCTTCATCTGTATCATGAGATGATCTGCAAATTCTAACAGCCAGAGAAGAAAATATATAGAATAGTAAGTAGCTCAAATGGTTATGGTTGTTTAAAGCTTTTTACTATTCCTCAAGTGATATTGGGGCAATTGGACTAAAGGTTCTTGTTCCAATACAGGCAATCTCTTATTCATTGCCCCCATCCTTTGTCCCCCACATATTCCCATTAAATATTTATTTGGTTAGGTTAGATCCAAGTTCCAGTGACATCAGTGGAAAGATTCCCATTGGCTTAATTGGCAATGGGATGGGACTCCTAATCTAGGATAAATTTAAATAGCTAATCACACAACACTAATTTGAGCCCTGATCAACAGTTTGATTCATGCAGATAAATCCTTTTGTATACACTGAGTCCTACAGAAATTAGACTCAGCATAGATGCAGGGACTATCCACCTGGATCAGATTGCAGGACAAAGGCTTTGATTTGTTTTTCTAATACAGTGATTTTCAACCTTAATAGACTCATGGCACCCTTCATTAGGCTCCAGGCACACCTCAGAAAATGTCAGCTCTTAGTTTTAACTTATTTTTTGATTATGGAAAAGTAATTCATAAATGTTTCTGTTTGAAAGAGCTCAAAAAGACCACTATGGATTCTTATTGGAAATAATTGGTTTCATCTTGTGAATCATGTTTGCACACCTAACAGTGCTAAGATTGTGTGGCAACCTGTGGCACCCCTGAAAGGATCTCAGGGCACCTTGGGGTGTCATAGTACCTTGGTTAAGAATCATTGTTTTAATGCTACTGACATTTACTTAAAAACTGATAGATCCTAATATTTCTAAAACTTTATGTGAAGTGACTGTGTACATTTCACCCCTTTGAAATAGTTTTTGAGACCTCTTCCCCTGGGACTTAATAAATAAATCAATCATGTTATCCATTTAACCTTCTAGTCTTCCTGGACTAGGATCATGTGTATTAAAAAAAGAGAGCGAGTAGGAGAAATAAGACATTGTTTTGAGAAAAATAAGCAAGCAAAAGTAACTTTTCATTAATAAAACTTGTAATTAGAAATATTTCCATTCCTGCAAAACCTGTAAAAACACTTCTGCCTTTTCATACCCCACCCCAATCCTCACCTTCTCCCACAGAAAAGAATCTTTTCATCTGAACTCTCTGAGAAGGTACCTTGTAAATCAAAGAAAATCTTTTTGGTGTACCTGTGTTCGCTCTATAATTCAAGTTTCTCCTCACCCCACTTTCCTAACAAAATGATCCATTAGTCTAAAGAAAGGGTGGTAGTTATTCAGTCCATGGGACAGATGCATGCTGAAGAGCTGTGTTATCCAGTCATAGGGCTCTTTGAAGGGCTGGGAATTCAGGGGCTGGTGTGGGGGAGGTAGGACCCCCTGCCAAAATCTGGAGTACAGAGCTTTGTTAGGGATGTATATCATTGCGAGGGGGCCATGACAGCTGCATTAAGCCCTGTGGTTTCCTAACACTGCTCACCTGCCGCTGAAGGTGGCTTTGGATCCAGTTCCAAAAAGCTCTGCAATCTAGATCCAACCGAAGGGGGCCAAACCATTTTTATACCCCTAGTCTAAACTGACAACATAGTCAATTTTGTTTGTTTGTTTGTTTTGCTGGACAAGGTATCAGATCATATTGAAGAGGAAGAGAAGGAAATAAGTATACAAATTTATAATACATTCAATCTATAGTAACTGTATTAACAACATGGAAATGGCTCAGCATTATAATTAAGCCCTAGTTATAAGTTCAGATGAGGGTTTAAAAAACCACATTGAATGCCACAAGAGACCTTATTTACGGGATTGCTAAACTGTATTAAAGCAATAAGAACATAGATTTGTAATCACCAGGTAAACATTCGTAACACATTAAATTAAGATTTCTTTTAAATTTAACTTGCTCTAAAGGAAGCCTAAACTGGTTTCTTATTTTAGGATTCCTTTCTGCCAGCATCACAAATGATATCCCTTTTAAAGCAAAGTTGATGCCAGCAGTATTAAAAATCAAATGCCTCTTTTCCTGGGGAGAAGTATTTTTTACCTTGCAAACTTTCTAACTGCTGGATTGAAAAAAAAAGGATAAGCTGTCCTTTAAATATATATATAGGCACCCAAAAATTCACCATAGCCCCTGCTGCCTGCCCAAAGCACAGCCCGCCCCATCCCATGCAGATCCAGGGGCATGTGCCCCACCATGCCCTCCTGGACTAGCAGCGGGAGCAGTGAGAGGAACCGCAGGTCGAGCTGCCAGAGGAGCAGCACCCCCTCCCCGCACCCGCCCAGCCCTGTCTGGGCAGCACTTGCAACAGCCCCAGACCATCCCTCACTGTGGGGGGCTACACCCCTTCTCTTCCCCTTCCCTTCCACCACTTACCAGATGCACACAGTAATGACCATTGTAAAGGAACCAATCCCCCATTCGTAACACTATGGAAAAACTAGTTCTGAGTTATGACATTTCGACCTAAGATGCAGTTTTCAGGAAACAATTGTGTCATAAGTCTGAAGACTGCCTGTGTGTGTGTGTGCGTATAATTTTTTGCCAAAGCTGAAATATCTGCTAGGAAGAGAACTTAAACTTTTTCCTTGACAGATCTGCAGCTGTAGGAAGAGGCTTTAAAAAGCTTGTCAGAAATTTATTAACTGATAAAACATTTTTCATTATAGTACCAGTAGCAATATGTGAACAAAGTGCAATTGGAAACTGTGTGTATTATTTATTTCTCTCTCCACTCTGCCATATGGAAATAACGAACCTAAAACATTTCCTATACGGGGGGAAAAAACAGCTTTAAGAGGCCCATTGAGAGCTGGCTACAGTATCTTCTGGATACCATAGCAAAAGACATTAATATGAGTTTTAAACTGAATCAATGCCAAAACTAGCTTGACAACAAGCCCATAAAAACGTATCTTGAAATGAAAACTCCTACAAGCTGGGAAGTTGCTGACATGTATAAGTGCTTTAGCCAACAGGAGAAAGTGATCAGAAGGTGCAGCTACCAACAACAAACAAATGACTAAGCACCAAAGGGAAGCATGGGGAAGTGTTCATTGCAAGCCGTGGCAGCAAAATACATCAGAAAGCTTTGTATTGACCAACGTATAGCAGAGAGCACCCAGACACTAGACTGAAGGACCTGAAGGCTGCTATGGTCTGCATATGTGCAGAGGGCAGGAGGACAATGCAAGATGAAAGGAGGTTGGCGCACACTATACATGTGATCTTTATCCATCTGCTTTGATTAGGTCTTCCTTTCAAGAGCCAGAGAAGAATCTCAGACAGACAAGCAAATGTACTTGATGTAACGTCCCATTTTCAGTCTGATGCTGTGTTAATTATTTAGAACCCTGACTCAAAATTAAGAGTGCCTCAAGATACACAGCATGCAAGCCTTTAGGAAAATGTTAAATAGCACCATAAAAGCCTACATATTTTAAATGTTGAATATACATATATCTGAGAATTCCAAATCATCTCATTGATAGGGCTATGCATCAAGAAAATTTTACTCTGGTTGCCATTTCAGATTGAACATTATCCAACAGTAGTAACACTTTTTGGGTGGCCTAAAATAAGCAATGTTCACAACTTGTTTCTTTTACACAAGGAAATCCTTAGCATGAGCAAAGAGGAAAAAATAGATTATTGCTGCTTTAGCCCTTGAGCAAGTAACTAAGCAGGGTATTTCTGATACTTGTCTGTCACCAGTGTGCGTACAGGATTCAAAGGGTAGACAAGCAAAGGGCAAAAGGGGGATATTAGGTTAATGTCCCACTAAAGATGTCCCTTTAGATCTGCTGCTCCAGGGCAGATTTTTTTAATTTCTAAGGGGACAGATAATAAACCCTTCACTTGGGCGAGCAGTTACTCACACAAGCAATGTCATTGACCTCAAGGAGACTGCTTTTGTGAGTAATTGCTTCTTAGAGTAATGTCAAGTCTCTACCATCTGGCCCAATATGAGAGCAAATTCTCAAGAGAGTTTTTCGTTTTCAGTCACTTTAGCCTTTTTCTCAGGCAACCATTTGACTGTCAGATTTTTTTCTCTCCCTTGCCAATAGGAATCCTTTTAACAGGCAAGGCAATAAATAAAACCATTATAGGAATACTATACATGTTGGCAATAAGACCTCAACTTTATCCTTCTTATTAGAGGCCACAAGCAAATGATATTTAAAATTCAGTTAAAAGTAATCCCGCTTTAAAATATACACAAAACAAACTGGATTTTTTTTCTCTGCTTGTTTACTCAGCTTAGAAATACCCAAAACATCAAAAATACTCTTACCTAGTTTTACTATAGGATTTTTAGATTTCAGATGTTGATTGGGAACTCTGTTCTACTTAGCTTTATATGCCATACTCATCACTGCAGTATCTGAATGCCTTTTATTAGCTTAACTAACATCTGTCAAGCTTGTTTTTATATCCTCTCCCCAGGGAGAAAAGCATATACAGCAAAGTATCTTGCTTTGTTGTCTTTGTGGATGTTTTAAATATACATGTTGCTATGTATTTGTCAGGCAAGGTTAGGGAAAAGAAAAGAACCAGATGGAACAGAACATGATGTGTGCTGGTCCTCAGCTTCTACAGTCTAGGTTTAGTGCTTGAGGAAGGTCTCAAGTTCATATACAGCCAAGCTTTACTCTGTCTGTAGAGGATTTCGTTATTCAAAATAAGCAAAGCTGTTGGTTATAGACTTTACCTGAGAGCTTTAGGCAGTCTTCTACCTACCCTAGGCCCTTAACAAAGGAATTCCTTGAAGACAAAGACCAACACCGTGAAATTGATTTAAAATGTAAGGGTAGCCACTGTAAAAAGGAGAAGACAGGTTTTTTGTGCTTAAGAGAACCTGATCTGGGAAGATGCACTGCAGCACTCTTTGCAACCTGGGGTTTCCAAAGTACTGCAGGCTTCATGATAAGTCTTCTGTAATCCATCCGAGAGGCGCTGAAGCCATGAATACAAATTAGGCCAGGTTATTGCCTGCTAGTATGGGCTGGAATCTCTTGGTCTACTTAAGATAATAAGAGGTGTTACTCTCAGTACTTGATCCAGCATCACCAAGGAATCCAATATTGCTCCTATGCTATGGACTGTCAGGGGATACCTTTCACTAGAAGAAACTGCATTTCGGCTGCAAATTGTTTCAGATGTTTTCCTCTGTGACTACTTAAATGAAGAGCTGAAGTATTTAAGCTCTGACAAACATGGCATTTTAAAGTGCTTAATGGACTCTTGTTTAAAAAAAAAAAAAAAAAAAGACCCAGACCTTTTCACAATCTTAAATCAGTCCCTTTTTGGTCTCATGATATCAAAACTCTAAAGTTCCAGAGCAGGCAAGAACTTAATTTCTTAAAATCAGATTTTGTTCTGTAAATAACAGTTTTAAGTCTTCATTATGACTTATGGGGAAAGGTAAAATTATTACTTTCAACTCCCTTTCCTGATGATTTTTTTTTTTTTTTTTTTTTTTTTTTTTTTTTTTTTTTTAAGAAAAAGCACTCAATGTTTAATCTCATTGGGAATAACTTGTGAACCACCAGCAAACATTTCTGGATGCTTAAGATCATCTCTCAAATACGAGCTCCCTCTAGTGCTTTGTAGACACCATGCTACCCACAGGCTTTTATACAAAAAATAAAATGAATGCTAGGCAATGTTTTACTTATACATGACTTTGCCCCCAAAGCGGTACAGTCTTGCCAGCAGTTGAGTTTGGAGGCTGGACAGTACTCAACTATGCAGGGAAAGGCTTAACATCTATAATTCAGAGAGACAGGATTAGAGAAGATAAGGTTTAAAAATGAATTATGTTAGACAAAAATGGTTGAATTTTCACCCGGTTATCACAAAAATATTAAAAAATTACAAAACTCTGTTTTGAATACATGCTTTGTCAAGTGGTTTCTATCTTCACTTTTGACCTCTTTTGCTGTTCCTAACTGCATGTTTAGAGATGCTGACTGGCAGCTGTCCCTCCCACAGGACCGGGCAGGCATTGGCATTGGTTGAATCCAGGGAGAAGAGTTCTGCGTAGAAGCCCTCGCCCTTTCTTGCATCTCACCTGGATCCGTAAGGGGGGTGCCATCACCTGCCAGGAGGCAAGCGATGTACTTCATAGCACTCCTCCTTTTCTCCAGGGTATAGAAGAAGCAGGGGCCACAGTCCATCTCTCAAAGGAGCTGGACATGCAAGCAGATGAATGTGTTAGAGGCACAGCAGTCATCCAGAGTTCAGAGCTCTTCCTGCCTCTCCTGACACTCTCTGCAGAGGTACGGGTATCTGGGTCAGTAGCTAGGTGTCTCTCCAGCTTCAGCACTTCCCTTTTGAGCTACTCTGTAGCCACCTTCCACTGTTGGGTGTAGGGGCAACAGTACTGGCTGATGTGCACATTCCCCACATACCACTATCTCTGGGCCAAGGGAAAGGCTGGCCAGGCAGAACTCTAAGAAGGTGGCCACAAAGCCCACATCCTCCAGCAGCCAGTAGGCCAGCCCCAGACACTTGGGCTGCAGTATGACCTGAGCATACAGTAGGTGGAGGTCACTGAACAGGGCTGGCCTTGTGATGGAGGTGTAGACTTGAGCAGTGTTTAGTATGGACATGTAGATTTGATCCAGCTGGGAGTGGAAAGCAAAGGTGAAGGTGAAGGTGATGGCATTATCAGGAAGGTAGATGTTAGACATCCACCAGGGGGTAGTCTGAGATGATCTCCCTGAGGATGCCTGTGGTGTCCTGGCTCCACTCCCTGTCAGTGCAGTCCTGTACCTCAAAGGTAATGTTAAAGTCCCTGCCAAGGACCAGGCACTCGTGCGGGCTCAGGGTCCTGAGATATGTGGCCACCTACCAGTAGAAGCAGGCCATCTCCAAGGCGTACATGGGGACATAGATGTTGACCAGATTGAGGATGAGTCACTGTAACCAGACCCGGAGATGCAGCAGGCAGCCTACACTACCCCTCCACCCCTGCCGCTGCAGCTGCCTAGAGCCTGGGCTACCCTGTGGCCCTACCCACTGCCCCATATTCGGGGGAGCTAAGCCCTGTTAGCCTGGGCCTTCCACTACCTATGCTGCCTACTCAACTCCAGCTGCTAAAGCCAACTGGTGGCTGGTGTGGCTCTCCTACAGGAGAACCACAGAGTACCACCCCACGCCAAAGGAAGGAGAGTACCTGGTACCTGTGGAGACCCATCCTGCAGCCACACACATTGAGGGTTATCATGGTGAGGGAGCTCATTGGCAGGGGGTGTTATTAGGCTTGGCAGAGCTTTCACAGGAGGCAATGCAGGCTGTGGGGCCTATCAGCAATCCCACCATCCTCCTGAAGGTGTAGAAGGCATCATGGAAGCTTCAGGCTCCATAGTAGCTTTTGGCATTGTTCTGCTTGTGCCCCTTCCCTTCCCCCACCAGAGCCCTCACCAAGTTGCAGAGTTGGTGGAAATCCCCTCCCCCAGGGTCCAGGGCGAGCTGCACCTTCTTCCCGGAGCATCACATGCTCTTCAACAGCAGCTCTTCCCTGGGTACTGCCGGGGCAAAGAGGTCTGTGGGCTCCATGGAGCCCACAGTCTGTGGCAGGGATGGCTTCAATCAGAGTTGGGTCAAACAGCAGAGTTGGAGGTCTCCTCCACGGGCTCCCCTACCTCAAGACAGCCATCCCACCCTGGACCCTCCTCCATGGTGATGACAGCTATTTTTTTTTCTGGGGATGGGAGTCCTGGCACAGCTTGGGAGGTGGTAGTAATGACAGCAATATCAGCCCCCCTCTTAGGTGGTGGAAGCCCCCCACTCCATGTTTGAGGGCCCAAGCTGCTCCTGGGCCTTACATTTTACTTTGCCTTGGGTGGCAGATCAGCACCCATATGGGACCAGCATCCACTCAGCCTTGGGGTGGCCCAGGATGGGGTCATCCCAGGATGCTGGGAGAGGTGTGGGGCTAGGAGGGGGTGGCAACAGTGGTAGGGTGGTGGCTGCTGGTATGCACCCCCCTTGCCACCCTCCCCTGCCTGCAACCCCCTCCCATTTTGGAACCCCACCAGTGGCTCTGACATGGGGCTCCCTGAGCTTGTGGGGGGGCTAGATGCTGGGGCTAGAGTGCCAGGGGTGCCAGTGGTGGTAGCACCCCTTTCCTTTGACTAACTGAAGGGGCACTCCTGGCAGAGGTGACCCAGTGCCCAGCCCTGGAAACACCTCACTTCCCCTGCTGTGTAATAAATATGGTTGGGGAGACACTAGAAGGCGATCTTAAATGCCACCCCCCCACCCCCCCTGCACCAGCTGGATGGTGACTTGACAGTGGAAGGACTGGATGTGGCAGAAGCTGGGGTACCCACACCCTAGTGGGAGGCTGGTGACTGGGGATAGAACCCTTCCCGGGGTGGGTGGCGGTGGTGCTGGGGGGGGGTCAGGGGGGCTACAGTGAATTTTGGGGTGGCTGCAGCGCCCCCCATAGCCCTCCCCAGCACCGCCTGCCCCAAGCACAACCCAACACAGCTCCCCGCCAGGAAGAGCCCAGCACCACCCCTGGCCCCAGCTCGCAGCGGCAGCCTGCCCTCGCCTTCACCCTGGGTGCAGAGCCAGGGCCACGCCCCACCCCAGTGCCCTCCCATGGTGAGTACAGTGGCAGGAGCCCCCCCCTGCAGACAAGCCACTTGTGGCTTTGTCCCATCCTCCACCCCAGCTGTGCATTACCTGCCCCACTCCCTCCCTAACTGCGAGGGCCTCAATCTGCAACTCCCATACCCCTGCCCTCACAGACTTACCCACCAGACCCAGCTGCTCTCCACGCTGCCATGCTGTGCTTCTGGCTGCCTGTGTGCTGTGCTGTGGCTGCATGCATGCGCAGAGCATTTATCCGCAACATTATTGGCCATGTCAGCCAAAAAAAGCCAATTGCGGATACTGTCAGTTTTCTTTGTATCAGTGCCGATACGATACAGGACTGATGTATCAGTGCATCTCTACAATGTTTATGTTTTTATGATCCTGGAGGGAAATGGTCAGTAGAAAGGCAACATAAATAGTTCAGAAGTAAAAAAGGAAGGTCTCCCACGATGTCCTCATGGTAAAATTGGGAAAATGAGGCCTCGACTACTTTACGGTCCGGTGGCTAGGTAACTAGCTCTGAGGTAGGACCAAGAGAGTACTGATAGATGGAACCAAGTCAACATGGCGGAAGGTGACCAGTGACGTCTCTCAGGGTTTAGTGCTCAGACCAGTGCTTTTCAACATGTTTATCAACAATTTCGATTCTAGTATTAAAAACGAACTGGCAAAGTTTGCAGACACCAAACTATGGGGGAGCATGGTCACGCTTAAGGACAGGCTGGCAATACAGGCCGACCTGGACAGCCTTGCAAGGTGGACAGACCTCAACCTGATGACATTTAATAAGGAGCAATGTAAAGTGCTCCATCTGGGGAGAAATAATCCTCAACATACATACAGGCTCAGCCGTGCTACACTTGTGCTAGCACAACTGAACGAGACCTGGGTGTCATGATAGGCCACAGAATGAACATGAGCCACCAATACAATGTTACAGCTGGCAGAGCACATCAAACACTAGCATGCATCTACCATGGCATCTCAAGCAAGGTTAAGGATGTCATCCTTCAGCTGTGATCTCACCACGGCCAAGTAGAGCAGGAGTTTTGTGTCCAGTTCTGGGCGCTGCACTTGAGGAAGGATGTGGAACAGCTCGAGAGAGTCCAAAGGAGGGCCACATGCATTGTTAGAGATCTGGAGAGCAGGTCATACGAGGAGAGTCTGAAAGACTTGATACTGTTCAGCCTGGAGAAGAGAAGACTCAGAAGGGACTTGGTGGCAGTCTACAAGTATATTAGGGACATACATCAGGGCCTGGGGGAGCACCCGTTTACCAAGGCCCCCTAAGGAAAGACAAGAAACAATGGGCACAAACTGATTGAAGATCACTTCAGACTGGACGTAAGGATAAACTTCTTCACAAGTCGAGTGCCAAGGGTCTGGAACAGGCTACCCCCAAAGATGATACAAATCACCCACCCTGAGATCTTAAAAAAAACAAATCTTGATGCCCACCTTGCTGGAGTCATCTGACCCCAACAGTCTTTCCTGCCTAAGTGCAGGGGGGCTGGACCTGATGATCTTGTAAGGTCCCTTCCAGCCCTTGATATCTATGAAAATATGAAACGATAAAAAGAGTGATGTTCAGAAAATAACTACTATATTTACTCAATTCCAAGACAAGCCATTTGCCCCCCATTTAACATGAAGGAGGAAAAGCCCCTCATCTTGGAATACAGTATGAGGCAGCAGGGCGGGGGGGCGGGGCTCCAGCTCAGGCCCAGGCTGCAGCGTGCCTATGCCTCACTCAAGCTTGCCCCCTTATTCAATCTCGTCCACAGCTGCTACTGGCACTAGCTTGGCTGGAGCCATGCTCCATGGCCCAGACTAGCGCAGGGCAAAGGCAAAGGGTGGCAGAGGCTGTGAGGGGGGTAAGGTAGGAAGGTTGGGGGGCCCCCCTGAGGCTGGGGGGCAAGGAAAAACAAGTGGGGGCAGGACATGCAGCAGGGGGCAAGCTGGTTGACCTCCCCCCACCACGCACACTCCCCTCCCCCCCTGCCTGCAGAAAAATACACTTATCACATTTTGTCCAAACCTAAAGCACCTCAAGCAGCTGTCACATAATAGTAAAAACATATTATAATGTATAAACATGAAGTAACACAATACCTGCTGTACTATGCTTTAGTTATGAAACCTAACCCAGAATTTGGACACCAAGTGTGTACAATTAGTAGCGCACTGTCTTGTAACTGGTTTGTATTCTCCCCCCCCACACACACACACATTCAGGTTTCTAAACCATGCATAATGTTTTGGGTTTTTTTTTTAAATCAAAAAAGGTAAGACAGACAGATTCACTCCCTACTTTAAAATATATCTGGAGGGAAGAGGAGCTTCTTTTACTTTTATACCAACTGGCAATGATGTGTATTTTGTGGAAAGGAGGAGAAAATACCAGAAGCTGAAGAGCTTATGTACACTTATGGTAAGTTATTCTGGACTCTATACAGGTAGAAGAAAATTAATACACGCAATTTCTTTTAAAGTTTTATTTTCTTTCTTTTTTCTTTTCTTTTTTTTTTTTTTAAATAGCTTGATTAAACCATCCATTGGCTTTTTAAGTTTAATTGTAAACATCACAAAATTACTGTTCCGTACTCGGTTTAATACATTACATTAATTGCGGTAACAGTCCATAGGAGTAAAGTTGCACTCTCAAAAAAAAAAATTAAAAAAAAAAAATCTGAATTCATCTGGAAACACACACACACACACACACACACACACTACCAGCTCTTAAGAGAGTGATGCAGAAGTCTGATGTTTAATTCCCTCCTGTGGTTTAAGTGAGCAGCATTACAATTCATCAACAGCTTCTTTAATTTATTTAGTGCTGTATACCATTAAAAAGCCTGTTTTCACTTCAGTTAGAACACATTCACGCATACTACAGAAATTCCTCTCCAAGTAAAAAAAAAAAAATCATTTTCTACAATAAAACTGTAAAATTCATATAAAAGTTGTTGTAAACTTTTCTTTTGTGACATATACATGTTAATATGGTGTACCTGACCAATATTATTAGAAAAATAACATACATTTTCACTTCACAGGTTGTACCAGAAAATTTGGATAATGGTCAAGCATTTGACTAGAATTGCTGTGTGGGGAAGAGACTTCTATAAAGTATGATAAGTTGCAACCAAAAAAATTCAGGTTTGCTGTAAGTACAAGCATTGAAAATTAGACTGCTACACATCATTAGGGGCTTGATTCTGTACTGGAAGCCAGTGATAAAGCTCCCACTAACTTTGAGGGCGATAATCAGGCATTAGTTATATTTAATTAATTTTCAAAGGGTAATTTTTTTGAGAGGAAAAAAAAAATCTGTCTGAACAAATTCTTGTACAGTAGGCAATAACATACCCAAGCTTACTATAATCAAAAGATTAAAACAAACGTTTCTCAGTGTGTTACTTTTATACAGTCAATTCACCATCTGTATAGATCTTTCATACAGGAAGAGGGAGAAAAAAATAAAATAGAAAAGTGTGATAAAAAAAAAAAAAAAGAAATCCACCAGAATAAGCAGGATTGGAAGGTCAGATTTAGTTTCTAGAAGTCCCTTGGGATATGTCCTAAAAACAAATCCATTTAAAATCAAATTTATCCCTTTCACAGACATCAGAAACATACAGGGCCTAGTCCTACATCACATGTTTAGCCTGAACTTCTGCTGATGTTGTCAGTGGCAATTTGAGCATACAAGTAATGCAGGCTCAACCCAAAACTAGATGCTAATCCAAAAATTAAACAAAGGGATTGAACAAAAGGATTTAAAAGTCTGATATTCAAGCAATCACTTTCTCTTACTTCTTTTTCTGACATTTGGGTATGAAAACAAGGTGGATAGCCAAACAGCCAAACGTTCCTCCTGCATTTAATGTGAGAAAAATTGACAATCGGGAAGTATGAACATGCCAAAAATTGTATCTTTTCAATTTTTTTTTAATTGGGAAACTATCAAATACATCTTTAGATTAAAATATATATATATATATATATTTCAGTCTGTAAACTTGAAAAAATTGATCATGTTAACACTTAGTAAGGAGTATGGATTAAAAGTGTTACTTGGTCTAAAGGCTTAACCAGGCTCTTTCAAATATTGTAGGACAAAAACGGCAAGAGTCATGTCATAAAAACAATCCATATTCAAAACACTCTTTGAAAAAAACTATTTTAACCAAATAAAGTCAAACAAAGTTCCTATGAGCTTTTAAGTTACCAAAGCTCTCAATCAAAAAACTCTAATAGCGTAGAAGCTGGTATGGTAGGTTTGGGTTCTAGCTTCCACTTCTACAGAACTGATTGCCCACAAGTGTCTGACAGCATAAATACATTTTCAGTTCACAGTTATAAGAGATAGCCATGCAGTGAGGTTTGGGACTTTTTTTTTTTTGTTCTCTCTCAAAGCAGCAATCTTGGGAAAAGAGCAAACAGAATGGGTTTACCACTTAGGTGGTACATCTGATTGGCTAAGACAGTGGGGGCCAATCTGTGTGACATACATATCACAAGTTAGGCCCACGCCCTCCCAAAGTGTCACTCAGATCCCTTTTCCCTGCCAGACAAGCTGCTTTGCTTTCTGCTCCCTGCCTTTACTGCTACTGTGCTGCTTGTCCCCCCTCCAGTCTGATGCATGCCACAGACAGGCCCTTGTCACTTGTGGCATGTGTCCCACAAGTTGCCATCCCTGGGCTAAGAGGTAAACAGAAACACTCTCATGACAGAAAACAGATATGGACATCTCTGCAGATTTTTTGCTAATTTCTCATGATTTACCAAAATACAGAAAAACTAGAGGAGGACATGTTAGAAAGGGGGTGATGGGGAGGGAAGCCTCGCCGGTAGGCTTATACGGTCAAAATATTTATTTTTATTAAAACACTGGAATGCACCCCCTTCACCCCCAGCCCACATGCACACACTAGTTGGGTAATAAATATTAGAGCAGGTAAGAGTCTAACCCTAAAAAAAAAAAAAAAAGCAGCACTTTTTCTGCAATATGCACTGAAAGACATTTCAGATAGTACAGCCCTTACCAGAGGCCAAGTTCTGTGAAATATTAGTTCCCACAAATGTCTCAGGTGTTTCTTGCCTGGGTCTGTACAGCTTCCTTATGGTGTACGATGATTACCTAGGTAGAGGCTATGAGTGCCATTAGCTACTAGCCACATCAGTAAATCAGTACCTCTGTCAATTTTCTACTGTTTTTTGTGTTTGGTAAGAATAAAGTGCCAATACAGTTTACACAAGCATCCCTGTGCCACATGGTGCTGTGGTTTTATCTATACATTTATAGCTTTGGCAGGCACATGCGAATTAAAAGCAGCAGCGCACTATTGGTACTAATTCGACCTAAATAAAACATTGTTTATGAAAAGTGATTTACTTTAGAATATTTCATATTTTCTTACCTTTCTTTAACCACATCATTTGTTTGCTTTCTAGTGGCAGAAATAGAATTCTTGATGAATGGTTCAGGAATGAGCAGAATACTAAGCAATACCTTATAAGACTGCACTTTAAAACGTAAGATGGTTCACTTAACAATGTAATGCTCTTACACTGATGTTTTAAATATACATATGCTCAATACCAACAGTTTCACAAGTTAAAAAATAGAAATAATGATCAACTGGAGGATGCCTTTTTAAAAACTGCTCTTCCATCACTTAAAACAAGGCAATCTTCTCTACTATAACAGGTTGCCCATGACAGTCTCAGCCCTTAGCAGAGCATTTATGACGAGCAATTCCTAGATTCAACTTACTGAAGCCACAAAATTCCCTGCAAGTTGG